TGCACTGATCTGTGTTGGCTCTGCTCGGCCTATTGAAATCTCTAAGCTGCAAGTTCAGGAGCTCAGTGAGTTTCTCCTCTGCAGCCAAGGAGGAGTATGTTCTAGCAAGGGGCAAGCGTGTAGAAATTAGATTCTGACCTAAAAGTGAGAAGAGTGTGAAACTGGACAGTACAGACACGCCTCTGCCCTGGGGCACTCAGGCCTGGTGGGTCATTGAATTGCCAGCTGCAGGGAAGGGATGGTAGGGCCTGCAGGGGTGTTAGACACCATCCTACCCTCAAGGGCCCCACACAGATTCAGCGCTGTGGGGCAGTGTGTGAAGTGACTCTGAAGGGAGGCCTGGCAGAGAAGGGATTAAGGCTCCCCACCCCCCTCAGGAGCCCACTGGGATGGAGAACAGCCCTAGATGGGTCTCTGCTCCCAAAAGTAGCCATGCTGCTTGGTAAACTGCCCAGACCAACCTTCTCCTCCGGAGTAGGAGAGCCTCCACCCTGACCCCAGGATAGCCCTGTCCCAGCTCTTACTGACAGAGTCAGCACCAGGGACCTTTTGTCATCAACACCAATCTCAAAAGACAAGTGGAAAGGGGGAGAACTCAGGGCTAGTGCATCCCCTCAAGCTGACCCCAGCAGGCAGGGGAAGCATCTGGCCCACAAAGCTGGGCACAGCACCAGGGAACAAAGGAACAGTCCCGCCTGGGTCTCGGGAGGAAGGGTGCACCTCCAAGGCTAGGCTGTGCCCCAGCTGTTAGAGCCAGAGAGGAAGTCACCTTGGGAGAAGTGGCCTCTGGGTGGTATGGCCACTGCAAAGGACAGACCAGTCAGAGCTCTGTGCCCCCACCAGGCCTCAGAGCACAGCTAGACCCTGCAGAGTGGTCACATCGTGGGGAGGAAGAGCAGCTGGTTAGCACTCAGCATTTTCTGTGGAAGGGATTTCATGCAGTTAACAGCTCTCTAATTCCAAAAGCAGCATCACAAATGAAGTGAGACCATACACTGCTCTTTTTCTACCTCAGAATCACACTGCTCCGAGCTATTCAGAGCTGATGCCAAGGGACGTTGTTATAAAGCCCCGAGGTGTCACCTGGTGGGAAGTGTCAGCCACCAGAGCCTGAGAGTGCTGGGTCTCCCTGTCCCTAGGCGCCAGATGCCAGCACCCATCAGCAGTCACCTCAGAGCCCCCTGCCCATCCTGAGAACAGGGGTACACAGGCCGAGGAGCCCATACTGGGGCCCCAGGGGAATCAAACCTCCTGGGCAGGCCATCTCCCGCACAACAGCCTGACCTCTGGGAGGAGCCTGTGTGACGGTTTCTTGGACCATTTTAGTATTTTCTTCTTTGGGGGTGGAATATAGTAAGAGGAAAGAACTTTTTTACTTCCTCTGCCAAGCTCTCTGCCTTTCCCTTCCTCTGCACCTCTGTACCAAGGGCTGCAGGGAGGTGCTCTTGCCTCCTGGACCCCTGGCCCAGGCCTGCCGGTGGCCCAAGGAAGGACACAGCCATACACCCTGTCTGCAAGCTACACCCTGTTTCTCCACAGACCTCAGGTAACACAGTGTCTTGGAAGTGAGCACATCACACTGGGAAACAAAACAGTTCTTTTTGGGGCGGTGCCTGTGGCTCAAAGGAGTAGGGCGCCAGCCCCATATGCCAGAGGTGGCAGGTTCAACCCCAGCCCTGGCCAAAAACTGAAAAAAAACCAAAAAACAGTTTTCTCATGAAGCCAAGGAAAGGAAGAAGCCAGAGAAAACAGCAGTTAGAGCCTCACTGAGACTGTCAAATTTTAGGGATATAAGGGATCATCTAATCTAAGGCCCTCCCATTTTAAATTCAAAATAAACATTGTTTTTCTTTTTACAGAAGCAATACTTATTGTGGAAAATTAGGATACAACAATGAGCAAAAAAGGGGAATTTGAAGCCTTCTGCTATAGCATTCAGAGACAACTATCCACATGACCCGGCTTCTATGGCCACAGAAAGGCCATCCGCACCTGAATGTTGCTCCGTGACCTGTGGACACAAATGGCAGACTGTATCTTAACCCGGGTGACAGGTCCAGGCAGAGAGCTGGACAGATTCTGTAAGCAAATGAGTTGACATTGGGGCTGTCAGAATGTCATGGGCAGGAGTCCCAGGGGCTCCCCACAGCCTACTAGAATTCAAACTATGGACAGAAAGGGTGGAGCACGTCTCCTGTCAGGCAGTGAGAAGACCCGAGCAGCCAGGTGCTCTGAGCACGCCTAGCCTGAGCCTCCCCTGGTGTGCTCCGGACACCGTGGAACTTCCCCACGGGTGTGCAACAGAGGGCTAAGGTCTGCAGGTCCCCAAGCCGGGTCTCCACAGGCACCACAGAGTGCTGAGCACACTCTTCCTACAGGGTGTGGTTGTGCCATGAGACGATGAGCGTGTGCTGTCTCAGAACCTGGCGCCTTCATCCAGTGACGTGGTGCACACAGTCTGCTTCTGTAGGCATTTGTCCCCATCAGAGTTTTCAGCTGGGACATATTTCCTTTGCACACATGTTCCATGATTCATTAACTCTCCTTCCCCAGTGCTGTGATAAGCAGTCTTGTTTTCCATATCTTTATGACTTAGGATGAATTCCAAGGTAAGACCTCTAACAGTGGCTTTCAGAAAGTAGAGTGCAGCGGGGAGTCTGCTTCCCAAACCCTGGGGCCAGGACTGGGTGTGGAGGGGGGGCCTCAGTCACCGCAGCACTCACCTCACGGGGGCTCTGGGGACAGACGGGTTAATGTACAGGCTGCACAGAGACCAACTCTTGCCCTCTGGGGTGTCTCCTGTGGCAGCTGATTTCAGTTCTCTTATTTGTGAGGGAGGGAAGAAGTTGGGGGGAGCCCCAGTGAGCTGCCTGAGGTCATAGCATGGGTGGGGGAGATCCAGAAGAGAACTCTGCTCTCTACTGTCACTCCAAAATGACTCCAGATATTTTCAGCTGTGTCCTTGTTATCATTTCCTTTGGTCACTCATTGTTTCCAAAAACCTAGGGAGCTCTAAGGTAGCCTGGGCCTATCTCCAGGTCTGAGTGGGGCCTCTGCTAGGTCCACCCCTCTTGCAGGAGGCCAAAAGGCTCAAGGAGGAAAGAGAGCAGAGGACACCTGACTGGGCACTTCCCCATCCTGATGAAATCACCTCCCCCCTGATGCCCAGATCTCTCTTCCACACCGTCTGTGTGACTCTGTCCTGTACTGCTCAGCACAGAAGTGGCGGTAACTGCCCTCTTCACTGCTATACTTGTGCCCCAGCACAGGCTGCCACTGAGTGGGTGTCCTCTTAACACAGGAGTTAACTCCTGACTTTGAGAGACTCAGATGTCCTAGAAACACTAAGACAATGCATCATTATAAACAACAAAAATCATTAAATACTCCTCACACCCCATGTCAAACCTGGTTGCACTGAGGCTATTGTTCAGTCCCAGGGCAGTTTGGTCAAGCTTTGCAAAAGAATTCCATCTCAGCCACTGATGACAAGTGATTGGTTTATTCCCATGTCCTCTGGGACAACCATGCTTTCATGAAAGCGTCAGGATTTGGAGTCATGAGAAGTAACTCACCGGGATTTGTTTGGGGGCCAGGAAGCAAAATCAGGGCATGCCCAGGACACACAAGTGGCAGAGGTGGAGGTGGGCAGAGCCCTGGCTAGGTCCCTTAAAACACACAGCGCCCAGGCAGAAGCTGCTGGCACTGGCTTTGCAGATAATGTGGGAGTGAAGGTATATTTAAGGCAAGAATTGTAAATGTGCCTTTTTAATGCAAATTAGGCTTTCAAATACATTTGTAATAAGCTGAAAGAGGGTAGTACAGGTTTTGTATCTTTTATCTGGAATGGTTAGCTCCAAAAGTATTTGGAATTTCCAATTTTTTTCATTTTGGAATATTTTCATATACATAAATCTCGGGGATGGGACCCAAGTCTAAATGCAGAATTTATTTATGTTTCATATACACATTATACATATAGCCTGAAGATGATTCTGTGCAATATTTTTAATAATCTTTTGTAAGAAACAAAGTTGATATACATTGAACCATCAGAAACCAAAGGTGTGATGTGCACAGAGGGAAATGGGGAGGGGGCGGAGGCCAGGAGAACAGACCAATTTAATGGGTACTATGAACACAGTGTGTGTGACAAGTACACCTGTAACCCCTAACTCAAGCATTACAAAAACTATGCATGAAACCTAAGACATTTGTGCCCCCTTAATATTATGAAGTCGGAGAAAAGGAAATCAAAGGTGTGGAATCTTCTTCTTCTTCTTCTTTCTACTTCCTTCTTGTTCGTCTTCGACACAGCCTCACTCCATCACACTGGGTACAGTGCCATGGTGACATCATACCTCACAGCAACCTCAACCTCTTGGGCTCAAGCAATCCTCCTGCCTCAGCCTCCTGAGTAGCTGGAACAACAGGTGCCTGCCACAACACCCAGCTAGTATTTCTGTTCTGTTCATATTTGAGAACATTTGGATTTCAGATTAGGGATGTTCAACCTATATGACTCTACTCTCTGCTAAGAATGGGCATGGGATCTGGACCCTTGCCCTTTCAGTTCTTCAAAATTGAATGTGTGTGGCCGTCCAATGAACCCAGGGTTCCCAGAGCTGTGTCTGCAGCACCTGTCTAGCCAGTGACCGGGGTCACTGTCTGCAGCAGAGAAAGGACCTGCCATCTTCACCCTTTCTGAACGGTGTGGGCTCCTGTCCTGCTGATCACCAGCTCTCACCATTCTCTGTGGGTCTGAGGAATACAGGAAGGGAAGTAGCAGCTTGTGGGGCTCCTCCCAGGACCACGCTGAAGGCCTGGCCAGTCTGGCTCAGCCACTAATGGGGAAGGGCGTGCTCTCCTGGTCAGGGAACATTTTCAGGTGCTGCTGTGAACTACTAAAGGCCAGTTAACACGTAGCCCAGAGTAAGCCTTTCTTGGAAAAGAACTCAGAGGGTTCTTGGGAAACCCATTTTATCTACCTCGTTCTATACCTAGACCACGGTTTCATGAAATGCTGTTCTTTCTGATGAGATCATCAGTATTCAATTTCTAAAACAACATTCCTCCTGAGGAGGCTGTTATCTGCAATAAACAGAGACTTACAAACAGAAGTCTGTGGCCGCCACCCACTCCCTCCCCATGGAGCAGCATGTTCGTTTTCTTATTGCTGTTGTGACAAATGGCTACAAGCTCAGTAGCTTAAAACAACACAGACATATATCCTCTCACAGTTCTGGAAGTCAGAAGTCTGAGATGGTGTCACAGAGCTGGGTCCCTTTTGCAAGCTTTAGAGGAGAATCCATTTCTGGCCTTGTCCAGCTCCTGCAGCCACCAGCCTGCCTCAGCTCACAGCCACACTCTGAAGTCTGCCTGCAGCGTCACTGCTGACTCTCACCCCACCTTTACTAGGACCTTGTGATGGCATTACGCGCACCCAGATAATTAGAAGACTTTCCATCTCCAGATCCTTAACTGGACTGCACCTGCCAAGTCCAAGGGATCATGTTCACAGGCTCTAGGGATGAGGATATGGACATCTTGGGGGGCGGGTGACATTATTTAGCCCCTACAGCAGAGAACAGGCAGCTGTACATGCTGCTTTCTTCCTGATTTCTCTCACTCATGTCATTTAAACCCACTGGCAGGAAAGAGGCTCCATTACTCTGTCCCTTCACATTTGAAGAGGGGTCCCGTGCGGTGCACCCACCACCCACAGCAGCATGCCCCAGCCAGCTGCCCTCACCCTCTGAGCCCTCCCTGCCCTGTCCCACAGGGCAGTGGGACCTTCAGAGAGGACTGGGGTCTTGGACATGGCTCTCAGTAAGTTCCATTTCCCGTTTAACCCCCTGACAAAACTGAGTTTTCCCTGTGAGTGTGGACAGAACAGCCCTCTGAGGACCATTGAGCAGCAAACCCAGGCTCACTGACTTCCCATGAGGAACCAAGCCGGTTGCTCTGAAAGCATCCCAGCAGGCAATGGCAGTCTGGGACGTGCTCTTTCTCCAGCAGAGGGATCAGGCCTGTGTGAGAACCCACACCCAAGGAGGCACAGAGTCCTTCAAGGTGGGGTCCCACGGGAGCCCTACCTGGGGAGTCCTGGGGGTGGCGCAGGGCCTGGCCACCAGCACGCCCTCCAGAAAGAGCAAGTGGCCTGTGGTGCTCCCTCCTTCAGAGAGCGCTCCAGCCCAAGTGCTGCAGCTGCTTTCCATCACTGTCAATGCTGCTCAGTCTCTTCTCCAGTCTCCTCGAGTTTTCCTTCCCCAGGACTACAAGAGAGATGCCTCAGAGCATCATGTCCTGAGGGGGAGAGACGTCCACACCACACAAAGACAGGTGGGAGGAATATATGTGTGTCTGCTCTGTGCATATAAAGGTGTAAACATGAAGTTTAGCCATGCGGCCTACATCTCAAGGGCGGTGTCAAGTAGACCTTTTACCTCCTCTGCCATACATTTCTATACTAATTAGATTTTAGTATATTTGCAATGAGCATATCATTTTATTGTTATTTCTGCAATTACGAAATATTACATTTTAATGGAAAGAGAAAAATGTTGTTGAAGTGTGTTTGACATGGGAAGACATCCATAATATATACATGGAATTGATAAGTTACCAAACAGCAGGGATGATTCTAATTTTGTGAGGAAAAATGTGTGAAAATGAAGAGAACAGTGTGTGCAAGGATGATACTTGGGTGCACTGAAATGTTAAAAGTGATCATTTTTGGTGGAATTATCATTTCTGTGTTCTTCTGATATATACAAATATTTGTATTTTAAAAACAATGAACAGTTATTATCTTGTGTTTAATAAAAGGGGCGTGTAAAGCTCTTTACCCCAAAGTAAGACAAGAATCAAGGACTGATTTAAAGAAGAGGGCAGTGGGCTCTGCCTCCAAGTTTCTGCCTACCCAGCTGTCACCATGGCTCCCTGCACCTCCAGCCACTCACGAAGCCCATGCCCAGCTCACATGGGCAGGCTGGCACCGCAGAAAGGGCACGGCAGCTGGAGCCAGGGACCCAAGTCTGCCCCGCACCTGCACCTCCAAGCAGTGTGACCCCGGGCAACATGGTAGCACTTTCGGCCTTACTTTTTTACTTGTGGAAGGAAGATAATATTTGGCCAGTCCACCTGATAGGATCAGAGGGTTCTGTGGTGAAATAAAACTCTGTGTATGTCCTGTGAGGCCTGGAATGTTCTATGGCAGCTGACTTCATCACTTTACTGCTGTCTTCTCCTTGGTGATTCTGAGCTGTGACTTTCATCCTAGGCAGCATTCCTAGTTGTTTACAGCCCAACTTATTTGGAGGGACCTGCCTTGTTCGTACATGTGAAGTTTTACAATCTCCTGAACCCTGGGTCTCTGACAGCTGTTAACCTCCACCCAGGGGTCCTGGACACTTTCTTTGTGTTCACAGCTGGTGGCTTTCTCTGTGATTTAATTTGCAAGAAGTAAAAAAGGACTCCTGCCAAAAGCAGTCTGCCCATCAGCCCGCCTGATGGACTGTCATAAACGGTTCCTCTGAGTGGGGAATGGAGGCGGGGTGGGGCTGGCTGCTTGTCTGGGTGCTCCTCTCTCCCCTCAGTTGGGGGAGAGCTGGCTGAGCCCCTGAAACTCCTCCCTACAAGGAGGAGCTAGGGGCTTTTATTTTCTTCTTAATACACCTGTATCAATTTAGATGGTAACAGAGTCACCTGTAGGAGGATTAGCTGGGCACAGCCAGGTGATGAATGCTTTAAGAAAAACCCTGGAGAAAACTAGCAGTTTCTAGCAACGGGGTGTTTAAAAATCTCCCTATCCTCAAGTCCACAAGAAGGGAGCCTACCTCCCAAAGGAAGCAGGGCCAGGTCAGTGTAAGTTTCAGCCTGCTCCTAGCCTCCTAGGTCACCAGAACACGCATAACTTCGGAGCCAGCAGGCATTTCTCCTACCTGAGAAGGAAAAACTGGATTTCTTTCCAGCTACAAGCAATTTATAATCCTCCAGCCTCCCAGCAGGACTTCTGAGGTCCTTCCTTTTCAGACAAGCAAATATCCTTACTCACACAGGTAAGTAGGATATGGGTCTCTGTAAGACAGTGGTTCTAGTCTTCCTAATGCTGCAATGTACTTTCATTGTTAAAAAGGGGTCGCGACCCACAGGTTGAGAACTGCTGCTATAAGATGTAATATACACTACAGGTGTGTGCATTTCTGTCTATCTTGTTACAAAAGGAATTGGAACTAGACAATCCGAGAGAGGTTCTGTGACTTATCCAAAGTCCCAGCAAGCCCATACAGAGTAGAAAACAGATGGCCAATACCCCTTTTCTTGCATCTTTAAACCACGCTGAGCCCTGACCAAAGCCTACCACTGTTTGTGAGTCACGGTCCCCTCAGTGGACGCCTGCCTGCCGGGCACTCCTTGCCTCACTCATACAGATCCAACCAGGGTCCTGTCGTTTACACAAGAGCCAAGGTCACTCTCCTACCCCCAAATTCCTTCAACACTCTGAATTCTTCACCAAATTAAGCAAAAAATTCTTCAGCCTGACATAGACATGCCTTACCCAGATCCTATTTCTGACACCACCAAATACGCCTCTGAGTCTTTGCCCTGGGACAGGTACTGTGTTAGCCCCACTCAGCCTCGACCCCACAGGTACATGCACTGAGCTGGGGGTGACACCTGTCCAGGCTGCCAGTCAAACCCTCCCCACAAGGGTGTGAAAGGGACCTTTGACCTGAGGACAGGTGACAAAGTGACAGCTATATTTGCCCCACATGCATGAGCAAGTGTAGGAGCTACCTCCAGAGCAGGGCAGAGGAGAAGGTCGAGTGATGGGAATCGGTAGACGACAGGCCCAGAGAATCAGACGTTTACCCAGCTGCTGACACCCCCTCTGTTCTGTCCCTCCCAAAGCCCCACTGCTCCTCTGCCACCGTGCTCTGTCCTTGTACCCACCAGCAAGTTATGTTTGTTTAACCTGCTTGGATGGGTTCCTGTTACTCATAACCAATTCCTTGGCTCATGTTAGCTAGAAAGTCCACTAGTTCTCCATCAGCCACCTTTTAAAATAAGAATTCTCTGGAAAGACACAGGGTGGTCAATGGGGGCTCTTCTGTCATTCATATCTTAGTGTGAACTAGTTCAATAGCTTTCTTTCCTCCAAGACTTTCTAGCTGATATCAGGGACATATGTGGATTAAGGTTTCGATGAGGAAAAAAAAAAGTGAGATAGAGTGTCTCAGGGGAGGTAGGCCTAGGTGTACAGAAGGCACCATTAGCTACTGAAAATTTGCCCAAGGTTAGTCCAC